TGTTTAAAATATCAATCTTTCATGTTAATTTTCACAGACATTTTTAAACAGATCTTCAGAGTTGAGTTATTTTAAGATAATTCCATGCCAGGGAGGGCAGTGCATGAAATTTCTCCCTCAGAAAACGCAACATTAGAATGCTCTATAGACTTGCTGTATTTCATTGCTGAAAACTGCAGGGACCATCTTAAAGTAAGCATTGTATATGTACTAATAAATGTACTGGAGACAGGGCCGGCTCCAGGCACCAGCTTGGCAAGTGGTGCTTGGGGCGGCCACTCTGGACAGGGGCGGCAGGTCCAGCTATTCGGCGGATGGTCCCTCACTCCCGCTAGGAGCGAAGGACCTTCCGCCGAATTGCCGCCGCAGATAGCGATCGCGGCTTTTTTTTTCTTTTCTTTTTCTTTTTTTTATGGCTGCTTGGGGCGGCCAAAACCCTGGAGCCAGCCCTGACTGGAGATAGGGAACCTATTTTATATTTTGGGCACCTAACCTGGGTATCCAAATATTTAATGTGCGTTTTTTAAGGTTCCTTAGTTTGAACATTGAATCTTAAATATTTAATAAGTGAATGAAAAAGAAAAACCTGTCCACAGACAGGAATAAACCAACAATGTTCATGGAAAAAAAGAATGGAAGCTAACTCTAAAAACAGATGTCCAGCTTTCACTGCCTGTGAACCATCCTGAATCAATTTGGACATGCTATCCAATGAAGGTTTTGCCTCCTTGCAAACAGTTGTCAGAACTGATGCTGATATCAACTCGTTTCCCCCCTTAGAATTACTGTTTCTCCGTGCTCGTATAGCACCACACACAGACATGATTGTTCCGGCCAGTGTCTAAATGATGGATCAACTATGATATACCTAAATCTATCTGCCTAGCTGTTTGAGTTGTCATTAAAATTAAACATCAATGTATAAATATGCTGGTATACAACTTATAACAAAATATTGTTTAATTGTGATCTAAAAGGTATTGTGTATTTTCTCCATCTTTACATATCAAGTGCGTTATTTTATAAATTCAACTGCCTCTATAGGCCAACAGCATCTCTCCAGTCAGGCTGTTTCTATGGACACCAGTGTGGGCTCTACTTCCTACTACATTTACTCGTTGCCAAGAAAACCAAATTCCTCTAACACTTCCCAATGGGAATCACATAATGAAGGTCGGGAAGGTGGACAGCCACAAAAATACTTGGGAAGTATTACTAGCCCAGAAACCACATGACAGTAGCAAAATAGAATGATAGTGAACAGAGAAAGATGACTTGCCATTCTGCTACTAAAGAGACATGGTGTAAAAGGATTTGGGTCCACAGTTGCTACCACTTATCACTGGGATTACTGTACATTCAATAGCTGCCTACATTTGAGTTTTTCCACACACCAGAAGTGCCATGGCAATCTGGAGAAAATCTGCAATACAAACTTAAATGTAAATATGGGAATTTCACATTACAGCAAAAATTATCACAAGATCCCTCCTGATTTTTAATAGCATGAATAAACCTGGCAAATCATTTGGAACTGTGGCAATGTAGACATCTTGGGGTGAAAGGAACTGAGATCAGCTGGTTCCATTTTCACAAGAGTTTTTGTTGGTCTTATTTGAGATGGAGTCATAGGAAGATATCATCTACTGGTGAGCCACTTTGGATTATGACTGCATTTCTAATAGCATAATTTGGGGTGTTCAGTGAGAGGACATTACCTGGAGGCTTTTCACCTAGTTCAAATTTCAGTTTAAGTGCACATTCCTGCCAGTAAATTTATTTTCTTGAGAATCATGAAAAGTGAGCACAAAAGAGGTTTAAATAGTCAAAGCAATCTTTTTAAAACAGTAAATGAAAGTTTGTAGGAAATATTTTGCAGTCTGTACTCAGACCTAAGTGTCACGGCACCTAGGCAACTTTGCTGTACTTCTGCAACTTTTGCTTTAACTACATTTAATGGGAGGAACATCTTCAAGAAGATGGATTAAGCAAAACAAACAAACCAAAACCACATACCTCAGAGAAAAGTGTTAAAGTATTAACACTAAGAAGAGATTTTAGCAGTTTCTTTAATGTACCAATAATTATAATAGGTTTCACATCATATTTAACCCACCTCCTTACCTGTTACATGAGGAATAGAGGGAGTGGATTTACAGCCCTATAATCTAACACTTAGACCACACCCAGAAGGAAAGCAATGTTATCCTACTGCCAGACCTTCCATTAGAATCTTGTCTGCTTAGTAGAGTGGCTTTCCACCAAAAAATTAAAATAAGGTTCTTGGAAAGTGCTGCTGCACAAGTCTTGTTTGTTTTTTGTTTAAATAAAATGGCTGGCTGGAGTGGCACCAGATAAATAACTGAAATAGATTAGAGAGACAAGTCTTAAACAGTTTGAAGTACTGTCATCAACTTGCCTTCATTCAGTGACCTAATGAATATGCTGTGCTACATGCAGCATACACACTTTTCAAGAAGCTGTTACAGATTTTTAAAAACCTTGCTGCAGTTATTCCAGGAATTCCCAACCATAGAGGTCTTGACTATGTGTCATGCATCATTAAGCATGATAGCCCTTGACTGCCACAAATCTTAGCACAATACCTGACTGATCAATGCTGAGAACAGTTGGGCCCAGTGCAAAGCGGTGAGGTAGGGAAGGTCTGAGGGGTTCCACTCTACAGGCAAGTGGTGTGGAGCTCTTTAGGGAAGTGGGAAGCACATGAAAAGTAGTTCCACACCCTGCAAGAAATCCTATCTGGCGCCTAACACTTCCACTTCACCTCACAGAGCCCATGAAAGCTATCCTCTTCCCCCCATAAATTTAGAAGGAAAGGCATCTTCCACCAGAAGAATACATTGTCTCCCCAGGTTTAAGGATCTATTTCTGAGTTAGTAGTCAGAGTAGACCACAGGATTCATTCATTCACTGAGGATGTTATGTATTTAAGGAGAAATTTAGCTCTCTGACCTTTCTGGGATGTTAAGGAGACACTTCCTCTTTCAGTTTTATTTCCCAGCACCTGGCTGATATATATCACAGCCACGGGACGGAATATTAGACTCCAGCCATGGGAAGGGGATGGGTTTAGTAGGTGCTACTTGCCACTTCATTGTGGTGTCCCAGGCACCCAGAGTTCATATAGCCATCCGGAAAGCCCAGCAACATCACACAGCTGTTAGTAGCTTCACATCATGAATTCACGTAGGGCCTGGATTTGATCCCATTTATGTATGTATGAGTAGATACATAGAATGCACATTATCATGAATTCTAACCAGGATATTCTCTAGCAAAGCCAGATATAACAAGCATACTACATACAGAAGAAAAAAATAAAATGACTGAACTAGCTATGACAATTAATGCAGTTAGTGGAGTATTTCCATAAGGAGCAGATTCCGTAACAGTCTGCCCAAACCATTAGCGTGGTAGAAAGGATTTCTTAAGTGACTTACTGTAATACAAGCACTGAGAATGTACATAACCATCGCAATTAGATTCTAAATATTGTATACAAAACACATTCTTGGGATCCTCTTTCACTGAAGTACTGTTTCTATTGTGAAAGAACAATGCAGGCAGCATTCTGCAGTGCTCCAGAGGCTGCCTTGCCACAGGAAATTTCCACCAAGGTGAAACAACTGAAGATGTCTGAGGGAGATGATAGGAAGTGGGTGCACCTTTGGGTAAACAGTAAATTAGTCCAATGAAGTGGGTATTCACCCACGAAAGCTTATGCTCCAATACATCTGTTAGTCTATAAGGTGGCACAGGACTCTCTGTTGCTTTTTACAGATCCAGACTAACACGGCTACCCCTCTGATAGTAAATTAGTTGTCTCCAGACACTGATTTTCTGGGGTTGATTTTAGTTCCTCCTGATGGTCAGTTGTTTTTAAACTGGAATATGGGCAAGTAGGGAGCTGTAGGAATTGTAACATATTTCTACTAACACATCTGATTGTTTCTTAAGCATCATGTCCATTTATGGGGTTACAATATAAAAAAATATGTAAAAAATCCAAATAGTACCTAAAAAGGTCAAGTTAAGCAGTCTGAAAACAATAGCAAACACATACATACACACACACACATACATATACAACTATTTCCATAGTTACAGTATCTGTGTGCTAAGCAAACCGAAGATTAGTATTAGTAATACAAGGAGAATTCAGGACGAATAGTTATTTATTGGACAATAAGTAGACTGGGTGCATAACAAAAGTAGCCATAAAGCAGACTTCTAATGACAATTTCCATGCGACTTAAAGGGACACTCACTGTCAACTTGATTGTTTGGAAACTGACTAATTTTAAAATATTCCAGTTTCTGATAGCACACCTTAAAATTATATCTTTTTATAAAACATTTCTTTTAAATGTTTTAAAGGCTTTTTCTGCTCACACTGATCTTTATAAGCAAGAATAAAACTGAGGCTACAGGGGAAATCAAAACTGACTATACACAAAATGCTGTCAAATGCATAAAATAAACTGAAATGGAGAAATTTCTTTTGCTAACCTTTCAATTATAGTAATTTTAAGTGTTATTTGTCACTGTAGTAGGTACAGTATTTCCCAACTGAAATGTGATTTTCTAGTTGACTGTCCCCCTTTATAAAAGGAAGCCATAACTGCCCAAAGACCTCTCCCAGATTTTTACTGACTTTTGGAGTAATGCTTAGCCCAATGGGTCCGAAGCTTCTGCCTCAGACACAAACTCATTTTGCACTATTGTGCCACATAAGGAAGTCCTATTGTCTTCTATTGATAGCACTGAAGAAACAAAGACAATGGAGAAAGGCTACATGCTGCTAGGAAACATAGTTGCCACCTTGTGAGTGCAGAAAAAATACTACTAGATTCCATGGATGCTCTTTTGGGCAGGTCTTTTTGTTACCTGTGGAGGACAAATGGGGCTTGGGCCTCTAGACACTACTGAACTGCAAATAATATTAAGCCAAAACATAGAAGAAACCCAGAAGTACTCACCGTCTGGTTATCCTCATACAGTTTCAAGTCATATCCACTCAGCTCCACGCAAAAAATTATTGCTGTAACCCCTTCAAAGCAGTGGATCCATTTTTTGCGCTCAGACCTCTGTCCACCCACATCCACCATTTTGAAAGTTAGCTCTTTGAAGGTAAATTTATTTTCCACAATCCCTGTGGTCATGTCCCGAGAACGCAGAATATCTTCCACTGTAGGGATGTAGTCCAGTGCCGCAATCCTTTCTAGGTCATTCAAATAGTATGCAGCATTATCCTCTAGGTGGTATTCATTGGATCGGCAGAAGCACTCCTGCACACCGGGGTCTGCCCAGAGCCGCTTCATGACTCCCAGAAGCTCAGGAGTAATCTCACCTTTGCTTTCAGCTGGGCCAGTCAGGGCAAAAAGCTGCACAGCATCATAGGCCCTGTCAGGATTGTGGAACTCTATCTTAAGGGTGGCTAGAGCACGAATGATGCGTGTGAGGGAGTCAATGGCATTATAGATAATCAGAGGTTTGTATTCCTTGCAAGCCTCCAAGTTAAAGCCACCACTGTGAATGATTTTCATTTGCTTGACAATAGTACTCTTGCCAGAGTTGCTTGTACCTAGGAGTAGGAGCTTGATCTCACGTCGTTGTCGCTGACTCTCAGAGCGCAGGTGGCGGTCAATCCTCCGGGACCGCCGCGCTGCCTCTTTCTCCTCAGAGCTTTGCCTACATCCCATGGTATAGCAGACAGTAACAGAAGAGGAGAACTGGAGATTCACTCTCTCTCTCCGTCTCTGAGCAAGAGCTGCAATATCTTTCAATTCTCGTGCCAGGTGCACCCTGTGGGAAAAAAATCACTATCCAATACCTGATGGGCCAATAGGCCTGTACCAACTAGTTCAGTCCCAGCAGGGGTGCAAACAAATGTAGAAATGCAACCACAGACAGACAGTCTCCTCAGTAGATCTCATGGCACTCCCCTTTCCTGTGAATAAACAGTAGCACATTCCTGTTAATGAAAGGACACTTCCCTATTCCATAGTGTGGCTGGATCAGTCAAATATTCTTTTCTCTTCTGCATAATTATTTTGCTCTCTTCTATCCAAAGGTAAGGAGCTGCACCTTCATATGCTCCGCTTTAGCCCCAGTTGTCTTTTAATTGTCTTTTCTGGTTGCTGTGGTGATGCTGCTAGTTACAGCTGAAGGTCTGGTACGGTTTTGTTGTGTTTGTTTTGTTTCTCCCCCCACTTCTTTAGGCTGATCCAGTTCAGATCTGTGAATCTGGGCTCTCCACCTGTCAAACAGTGAGAGAAAAGAAATTAATACAATTGGGGGACTTTGTTTCTCTTCTGCAGAACATTCACTTTTTCTCTGTTTCTGACACTTCTGAACATTGTATTACCCCAAATACAATCCCGATGGAAAATGTGTAAAGAAAAGCAATAAAAATTTTCTAAATACTGCAGAAATTTAGGGACAGCTTGAGTCTGCAGACCTTAGAAAATGTGTACCCAGAGCAATAGTAAATCAAATCCCCTTTTCTCTCCAGCCTTCTGTGTTTTTATTACCCAAATCCACGTGAAAACAAACAGTGCTGAGCTCTGTCCCAATTCTCTCTCAGCAAGAGCTGATGGCAGCCCTTTTCCGGCACAGCCCTGTTCTGACCGGTTTCCCAAAGTAGAGTACATGAAAGAGATTCACAACTACTTTCCCCCTCCCTCATTTATATTTATATTGTTGTCTGTCACTCAAATGTGTGTACACATGTCCTCCTGATTCTTCTTTCATCATTTCTATCCATTTTGTTTGCATTGAACATTTTTGTAAATAAATGATTAAATGAAAGGTGGGGATTAGGTTTGCATGAGGGTTTTATGAAAGGGTTTATCTGAAGAGGCACAATTATTGATCTTTGCAGAAAACTTGTGACAAGGTGTACCAGCCTCGCAGTCCTACTACACCCAGCCTCGGGGAAAGAGCTGCGAAGGTGGGCCCTCCAGGTCTGTCTAGAGAGGCAGAACAGAAGCAGCCAATCAGAGCCCAGCAGATGCAGATAAAAAGAGCTAAAGGGGCCTAGCAGGTCAGTTCCTGGCTAGGATTAGAAGGGCAAGGGAAGGTGCTTCTCTTTGGCCACAGGAGCTTGACTGATTGCATTTGCTCAAACTGGGAGAGAGAGGACACGAGAACTTTAACCTTAAGGTAAGGGGTGAAGATAAAGGGCCAGGTGGGAAAAGGCCCAGGGAAATAGCTGTAACTAAATGAAAGGAACAGTATGTGGCTGTTCTTTATAGGGTCCCTGGGTTGGAAACTGGAGTAGTGGGCAGGCCTGGGTTTCCACTGTGAAGTAGCCTAAGCTTGGGAAAAGGCTTGTTTAGAAGCCTGAGTGCAGGGTGAGAACCAGGGCTAATGACCATGGTG